GTTTATCGCTGCCAGCGTACGTAGTGTACGTATTACGTCCCTGTGTCAGCGGGAAATGGTCCGACAGTCAATCAAGCGGAGCGCTTACCAAAGTCGCACAACAACATTTTTACAGATTTTGGAACTCAGTGCACACATAAAGCGCACCGGATTATCAGGCGCACGACCGATTTGAGAAAATTTAAGGCTCTTAGGTGCGCCTTATTGTGTGGAAAATATGGTATTTTGCTCTTCTGAACATGCAACTTCCAGTTTGGTTTGACATCTAATGGGCAAATTAATTTAGTGATTTGCCTTGTGTCCAGCCATTGTGGTGGCTTTTCATATGTCTGAAATGTTGTCATGATAGGGTGTTTGTAGGTGCACTGCCAAAATGGTCAAACTGTAACAGCAGAATTTCTAGCATCTTTACAGATGATGAAATTACATGCACACATCCCTCTTAAACCTCCCTTCCTACACATTCACTGTCAACCCTACTGCCTGCTCTGCACCCCTCACCCTTGACACTAAGTTATCATAGGTCCTCAAATGTGATATATAGAGTTCCACAGCATATTGAGAAATTTGGGTGTGCGAATTTCTTCATTTGCTGAGGCCGATCACTGTGTTAACCCCAAGTGCTTCCTCATAAAGCTTGAGAGTTGCAACATCCCGTGATCACAGCAGGGACACTAGTGGCAACGTGTTATCACTTACCAATAACATAATATTAAAATAAGAGACAAAAACAACTTTTCTTGCAAGAGATGAAAATTTGATGAAATGGGCAGAAAGAACATGGAGGAGTGGTTCAGTGGTTAGTACGGTCCCCTCACAGCAAGAATTTCTAGATGAGGGCTGGATGAAGGTTCCCCTTCATGTCAGTTCTACAGTTCAGCACTGAATACAATACATGCAAATTCCCACTCATGGAAAAGGGACAAAGGTTGGAAATGCAGGAGAATGTAAATAGAACAGTGGCTGGTCTACATTGTAACCTACAGGTGCATAAGGAATTTACTCACAGAGTTGACACTCATGTACAAGGCAAGTAAAAATGTAACAAGCCAAAACTGCTTACCTTCTGTACAGCTGCCCTCTCACATTATAGTAGTAAAGCACCTGCCAGCACCTCATTCTGCCCATACTGCAGTGAAATACGCACACACAGCTTGTTTCAAATTTATTTTTAAGGCTCGAAGTGTCAGCTTGGGAATCTACCCAGTATATTCCAAGCTCTCAGTCATCTTGCTTCCCGAACTCTCGTAAAAAGACCTCAGGCAGCAGCCTTGCAGATTTTGTTCAACATTCATTTTTTTGATGTGCATTTTGTCGTGAAGAATTTCACTGCACGGTCTGTACACGTTTTAGTACCATAAATAATTACTTTACGACAGACTTGTCAGTTTACATAAATAAGTGTGTTAACAAAATGCAATGTGTGATGTTTCTTTTTCAACTACATCTGCAATTACTTCCTTTAGGAGTTTTGATGCCTGTAATGCTGCCATCCTGAGAGCAGTTCACTGCAGAACGTTGCAGTCCTGCATAGAACAAGACTGCATCTTTTATACTCTTTAACTTAATAACTGCAATCCATGTTCTAAGTATCCATTTTATCTGTACCAATAGGTCTGCTCTGGGAAGTTGATATCATTATTTTAAACATGCATTGAAATGTGTTGAACACTTGCATACGTGTGCATGAAATGCATGCACGTACTTCATGTGCAGTCTTATTTGTCCTCTGCACATTTCAGATGGCAGACCTGATGTTTACTTTCTGAGGTATTTAGGCTTCTGGGATAGAGAGGTAATGCATTTTACTGATGTAGCAAGTTCACTCTGGAGTAAAATCTGTTACTGCTGTGATCAGAATGCTAGTCAGAAGTGTGAAGGTGGCTAAATAACGGAGCAGATGGCCTGACTGTCACACTGAGAGCCTGTATTCATTCATCTGAAAAATTCAAAGACTGAACAGGCTAGGTATGTTTCTTGACAGGTTGGTGGTTTGGGTTTTAAGTGGCCAAAGATAATGCAATAAATGAGCTATGATAGAGAAATTCCTCAACGTTGTCGTAGAAGCCTGGAGTCACTCTCTGGTGTTGCTTCTCCTGCATGTTTCATATTGGCTTGTGATATTATTTTAAATACCTGGTAAAGGTGGCAGTCACGTGCTTCTTTCAGTTACTAATTGGCTTGTGGCAGTGAATGTATGGAGATGTTCTATAGTGTTCTTCTTGTTCTCTTACTTGCTCCTACTCCGTCGCATCTGTCTGAAGTGCTGTTTTCTGCTTTAGAAAAACATCAATCATCTTTCAGTTTATGTGGGACCACTGACAGTGGTGGCTCAGCATGATGAGTTATTAGAGGCATGTCCGTGCAGATTCTCAGTCATCCAGGTCATAGCAAGCTGAAAAAACTTAGAAAAATCAACTGGACAAGGTTTTTTTGAGAGGGGACAGAAGCCTGAAGGTAGAAGTATATCGGAAACCTACACACACAGACCAATACCTGCTTTTTGACTCACACCATCCACTTCAACACAAACTGGGAGTCATCAGAACTTTAAATCACAGGGCAGAAGAAGTGCCCACAACTGTAGAAGGGGCCAAGAAGGAGAAACTACACATCCAGAACTCCCTTAGGGCTTGTGAAAGCCTTCACCAAAGCAAGGAAGAGGCCCAACACCAACAGGGAGAAACCAGAAACAAGAGGGGATAACACTGTCATCCCTTATGTGGCTGGTTTATCAGAGAAATTAAAAGGGATCTTTCGCAACCACAATATCCCAGTCAACTTTAAGCCAGGGAACACCCTGGGGCAGAGACTGGTCCACCCTAAGGACAAAACACCCAGACATAAACAGAGTGATGTGGTGTATGCAATTAAGTGTAGTCAGG